ATCTGCTTGATGTGGAAAGTCTTCTTGGGGCGTGGGATGGAGGTGAGGGAGGAGGTGTGGGGGCAGGTGTAGCACTTCCCGGTTGCTACCGCATCCCAAAACCCGCCTCCCTAACCTGTTCTTCCTCCCACCTATCCCCTCCTCCCACCTCAAGCCGCACCCCCATCTCCTACCTACTAACCTCATCCCGCCCCCTTGACCTGTCCGTCCTCCCTGGGCTGACCTATCCCCTCCCTAACTCCCCACCTACACTCACCTTTACTGGCTCCATCCCTGCCTCTTTGACCTGTCTGTTTCCTCTCCACCTATCTTCTCCTCTATCCATCTTCTATCGCCTCCCCCTCTCTCCCTATTTATTTCAGAACCCCCTTCCCCTCCCCCATTTCTGATGAAGGGTCTAGGCCCGAAACATCAGCCTTCCTGCTCCTATGATGCTGCTTGGCCTGCTGTGTTCATCCAGCTCTACACCTTGTTATCTCAGATTCTCCAGCATCTGCAGTTCCTACTATCTCGGCCTACTCCTGTCCCTATTTTCCCTCACCAGAGACTGGCAGAGATAATGGAAATACTGAGGCCCTCAACGAGAAAGCTGATCATGGGAAGCAACCCAGATTTTCCAGTTTAGAGAGGATTTCACCTGATTGCATGCCCTGGCTTCAAGCAAATGACAGTACTCTGAGCCCAAACCTCTGCAGGATCAGCACAGGGCTTTGTCTAAGTATCATTGGTGCACTTATTAGGCAGATCCAAGGTAAGAAATTCCCTTGCAACAGTCATCTTTGAGTTGAAGGCAGGCATTTCTGGCATTATGCCATTATTTGGGAAGCTTGACTCATTTGATCCTGCCGTAGAGAGAATGCATTATTCTTTCCAGACAAATGACAGATGGGGCAGATGAAAAACAAAGTATAATTTTCCTGATAGCTCGTGGACCTGCAGCTTTTTCAGTTATTAGAAGCCTAAAGTTTACTGAGGCAGCAGATACTAAAGCATTTCAAGACTTGACGGAATTAGTTAATGAATATTACGACCGCGAGCGTCCTGTAATTATGAGATGCCATTGGTTTTACTCGGCAGTTTGAGAACCAGGGGAAACCATATTGGGATTTCTGACTTGGTTAAGATGACTGGCAGAGAGATGTGACTTTGGTTTAACCCTTAATGAGATGCTATGAGAGACCATCTGGTACATGGGATTAATGATGTAACTGTGCAAAAGCACCTACTAGCAGAAACTCAGCTGGACTTCAAACAGGCGCTACGTCGGCTTTGTCATTAGAAAATGAGGCAAATGGAACATATGAGTTATAGGGTATGCCAATGGACATGGACACCCTCGCCAGAACAATTGAGCTTGGGGAGTGGGGGTGGGGGGGGCATCTCTTCAGTGATGGCAATTGCACAGCCTCACTCAGAATATATTCTGAACAGAAGGACTCTGAGTGCTAGCTCTGAGGAAGCTGGACCAGTGTCAAGTACTATGCACATGTTAATAAGGTGTAACTTGGTGATGGGAGTTATTTCACAAACCCAATCATGAGGGTGGAGTCACATATAGTTTCACCTTTGTTATCCATCACAACAGAGGACGTCAGGCATCTTGAATTGGTCGATGAAGACACACGGAAGTTACACTTCAGCTGAACACCCACCAACCAGGCATTATCGAAAGAAGAAGACTGCTCCAGACTGTACACTGCTGAGATGCTTGGGGAGGAAGGCAGCATTCGGCGACTCTACGACAATGTGAGGTGAGGTGAAGCCACTTGTCCTTCCTGTCAATCTCAAGCTTCATGTGGTGGAAGCTGACCCACAAGCAGGTATCAGAAAAGGCAGCTTCATTGACAGGATGGTGATGTTACTGATCAGGGATGGCTAACAATATTGCCCATTACCGACAAAACTGTCGAGAGGTGTACTTTGGCCAAAGCAGGGAAATTCTGGAGCTGCCTCCCTAACAGTGCTGTGAGTGTACCTACACTACCTGGCCTGCAGCAGTGCATGAAGGCAGTTCACCACCATCTTCTTAAAGGAAACTGCAGAATGGCAATTATTGGTGGCCTAGCCAGCAATGTCCAAATCCTATGAATGAATTTCAAAAACCAATCGCCTTGATCTGATTGAGATGGTAACTTTACCTTGAAATAAATGCCTTGTGTATAGTATGTATTTCTGACAGTAATGTCAATACTGTGAATGTGCCATCACTCACAGAATGTGCCTGCTGTGGAGGGTTCACTTGATTCCAACCTTCCAATGCTAGGCATGTCTTTTGGCAGCCAAATTAAATTTTCTTCATAAGTAGTAAACAAGAATAAAAGTTACATTTTATCACCTTTGGTGATTTTGAGTGCCCACCTGGCCCACTTGGCAGTAGATCATCTTCCAGGAGGCGTCAAATGGCACCCCCTGATGTAGTGCCCTGAGCTTCCTGAGACACTCCTGATCGGACAGCTCCAGGAAGCAGATCCTCCGGCTGCAAACCCTGTGATGGGGCCAATGCCTCCTATAAACTGTAGGTCTGCGCTCATCCCCCTCTGTGCTGTGGAGCAGGGGGTCAGTGAAGAGGAACTTGCTGCTACTCCTGCTGCTGCTGCTCATCCTTACCCTCATCTGAGGTCCAAGGTAAAGCTGGATCAGGGCCACCCAACCTGACCACAGGACTGACAAATGGAAAACGTCCATCAGGCACACTTAACTCCAGGCAAACAGAAATGACCTCTAGAGTAAAAGGAATCATCTCCATAGCACAGATGGCACGCTCTTGAAACATGTCTTGTGAGCAAAAGTCTTTTGCTCAGAACAGGAAGCAGCTCGCTAAGGTCAGAGTACGGCGAGGGTTTTGTGCCATTTACTCAACCCCTTAATTCTTGCTGTCTCTTTGTCTTGCTTTCACTGACAAGTTCCAGGAAATACTGGGTAATCCTTAAAACTCCAGATACATTCAAAAAGCCCAGTTGCACCAGCTTGTAAGAGCATTTTAACATATTCAAATCGGCTACTGGTCTCTTCCGAGAGAGAAAAGAAACTATTTTCTAATCAACCTGTTCATGTTATTACACACATCTGGAGGAACTGGGGCTTCAGCTGGCTCAAGGTAGGGATATTACCACTGCACTGCAAGTGCCCTAAAAAGAGAATTCTTCAAATGCATCTGAACACACTGCTGTTAAAGATGCAAGTTAGCAGGCTGCAGCCAATCTACTGCCCATATTTGTTTCCAAAACCTTTGTCATGTTAAAGATCCCCCTATCAAGAGCAAAACTAAAAAAACTTTCAGAAAACACTGGCTAGACCTCAGCTGATGTCCTGTGATCCATTCTGTGCATCACACTTTAAGCAGGATTGTGAGGACGGTATCAGAGAGTACAGGAGTCAGTTTGTGGGGAGACTGGCAAAATTGGTGTTGTTTTCCTTGCAACAGAGAAGGTGAAAAGATTTGATGTCGGAAATTATGAATGAATTTGATAGAGTTAATTAGGAGAAACAGTTTCCGATGGCAGAAGGGTCAACAACCAGAGGACAGTTGTATGTGGATTGGAAAAGAAGCAGAGGGGACACAGGGAAACGTTTCTTACTGTGCAGTGAACTATTATAATATGGAATGTACTGTCTGGAAGTATGGTAGGAGCCTTAACAGTCAAAAGGGAACTGAATAAATGCTTGCAGCGAAAAACAGGGATACAGGGAAAGAGCAGAGGAGTTGGCCCAATTGGACAGCTAGCGCAACACAATGAGCTAATTGGCCTTTTTTTTGTGCGCTGTGATACTCCACAGACTGATTACCTTTACCCAAGCTATAAACCTTCTTTTATATAAATATTAAGAGCAAAATCCGATATGACGACCCGGAAATCGCCAACTGATCGCGATTACAAAAATATCAAGAGCTCTGCAATTCCTCCTCCACTTTGGTGACTGCTGAGTTCAGCAATTGGTCATTTTATCTCCTGCATTTATGAAGCAGTTGTCATTTTCCATGAGAAGCAGAGGATAAAATGAGCGCGGAGACAACTCCTTGGGGGTCTGCACAAAAGGTCTCCACTGGGCGTTGACGGAATTAATCTATCCACTTGATACATGCAGAGATGATCTCTGTGTAGTCTATACACAGTCCACGCCCTGCTGTGTAACGGCGCCTCGCACCTGGATAACACACCAGAGACTCAATCCACATTTTAATGTGGGATACATTTCCCAGGTTGGCGATGTTGCTAAACTTGGGGAGCCGGAGATGAACTAAACCGCGAGGTGGTTTTGAAAAATGATCCTTACCAAACCTTTTCGTTTCGTTTCCAACACGCGGCTCGCCTACATTTAAAACGTTTTCAGCCAGTTATTGCACAATGGTTGAATTTGCATTGATGTGTTCCAGTGCAAAATGTTGTTTCAAAAATAAACTGAAACATGCATCGCCCAGCACAATCGCAAGTGCACCTCCAGTCAATTTGGACTTTGAGTTTTACACATTGTGACAATATGTCCGAGCTTCGATACAAAGGCGTTTGTTACAATTCAATTGATCAAGAGGGAGGCTTGCTAATTGCAACAGTGACTGTAAGGTGACAGCTCCGTTCGACAATGGGAAACGGCTTTCCAATGCATTGGAGGCGGGAGGATAATAATAAATGTTTATTGTGTGTGAACCGACCACTCACAAGCCAAAATGTCTGTAACACCTCCCCAAGAGGGGGGGGTGATGTCATGTAGCCAAAGTTGGTAATGAGGAGGAGCGATGGGTTTTTTTCCTGGTGGATTATTGCCTGACTGTGCTGTCTGAGGTATATCGCTGTTGGAGTGTGCTGTGTAGAGCAGACTGTTGTAGAATTGCTTGTTTCTAGCTGTGCAGATTAGGGGGGAAAATATCAGTCACTGCAAAACAAAAAAAAAACAAGACGTTTAAACATCTGAAACTTGCATCGGTGTCTCTGCGGCTTATTTTACATTCTTTTGAAAGAGTAGATTTTTCCCCTTTCGTGTTACCTGCAAATTGGTCCTACATGAACCAGGATCAAATCCCTGTAGTAAATCTGAATTCAGCCAGACATGCTGGAAGGTGCCTTAGAAAAAGGAACCGCAGCCTCGGCAGTGTCCTCAGCAATGTTCTGCAGAAAAGGAAGTGCATTTCACGGTCTGCACCTCGATTGCTCTGCACCTTAGAATCAGGTACAGTCATGGTTTCATTAACTGGCGTGAAGTATGATGCGTTTATCGTTACTTTTTAATGACCCCATCCTTTTCACATATTTTATGGGTGTACCCTGGAATAAAAGACAATTTTCATAACCCACCTTTCTTGTACAGAGTACACATATCGAATGTTAATAATTATCTAATTTATGTGTGATCATGTTCACTTTTAGGACGCTAATGTTGATTAGATTTCTGAGTACGCAGGTACTGTAGTTGTGTTTGCTGGGTAGTTCTTTCAATGAATCTTTTTTTTTGGAATTAATTATTTTACTTTGTTCCCTCCCCTTTCATCCTTTAGGACATTTTTCTAACCCTCTGCCCCTTCCAAAAAGTGAAACGTTTGATTTCAACAAACCTTTCATCCATCTTCAGAACAGACCAGAAACATTGCTGAAGGTCTAAACGTCACAATTTTTTGTTCAGTTATTATTGGCTTATTGTTAAGTGGCAGCCAAATTGCCCAAGATATTTATAATGATAACAGGCAAATCAAATGTAATTCTCAGTTGGCTGACTCAGTTTTCGTTCTGTACTGGTAGATACGTGAAAAATAAGACACTGAAATTGATGTTGGTAACTGAGTTTTTACCTTGAGCTCCTATAGATTGGAGAGCAGGAGCTTAGCTGTTGCCTATTTCATATGTAGTAGCAGCATTAGTCTGTCCAGAATATCACAGGCATACATTTCAAGGGTCTTGCTTATTCCCTATTGCTGATGGAACACAACAGCTACAACAGCCTGGGACCAATTGAGGCCAAAGCATTGAACAATGGCAGCAAAATGATCACACACACCCTTGCAGCCTTGAGGTGAGAGCCGTAAAACTTGAGCTTCCTACCTCCAGATTTCCCTTTGCGGAGCAATCTGGAATGTGTGGTCATAATTCTAGGATAAGAGATAACAGATTTAAACAGACGAGTCCCGAAGACAGGTAATACCCGAAACGTTGACTGCTCCCTTCCTCCAGATGCTGCCTGGCTTGCTGTGTTCTTCCAGCTTCCTGTTTGTCTACCCAGATTTAAAACAGAGATAAGGAGAAATTACCTTTTCATGAATCTGTGCTCCAAATCAGAAATAGCTGGAGAAACTCAGCAGGTCTGGCAGCATTTGTGGAGAGAAAGCAGAGTTAATGTCTCATGTCCAGTCCCTTCTTCAGATCTATGGAATTCACTGCCCCAGAGTTTGGTGGATGCTCAGACACTGAAGAAATTTAATGAGGCGATAGATAGATTTTTGATTAGTAATAGGTTGAAGGATTATGGACAGTAGATAGGAAAGTGCAGCTGAGGTCAAGATGAGACCAGCCATGATCATATTAAATGGCAGAGCAGGCTTGTGGGGCTGGATTGTCTACACTTGTTCCTAGTTCTTGTGTTGAGACATCCCACACTCATGTCACATGATGGAGGCATTGAATAAATGTATGCACTAAACTGATCTTAAATGAGCAAGATGGGAGCGTTAACAAATGGGTATCTTCTCTGTATTGAGTGTGAGCTCTCTGGGAAAATCCTTTGGGATGCACATACTTGGCCATTTCAAGTTACTATATTGTCCCCAAAAGCAAACGTGGTGACCTTGGTGCAATTAAATGATTATAATTGTTTTTATAATATTGTATATATTCATATTCATATGTAGTTATTCGTTGCTGCATCACTGTTAAAGGTAATATTCAATTTTCAATATTAATTATACATTAGGAAAGTCAATGAATAGTTCTGTACCTGATTAACAGTTTTCAGCCAGACACCAGGTGCTTCTTACTTATAAGATCCTTGTAATTAGAATGAAAAGTTGGCTGTATCTGGAAGTAGTTGCTGTGCCTTAGCAAACATAAAAATTTCCTGCTTGAAATGCAAGAATGAGAATCTTCTTTCTGATTGTTCTGTTGGACTACTTGCTGATTTGCCTGTTTACTTTTGCTCAGTACTGTATAGGTGGTTATGAAATTTATTGCTTCTTCTAGAACCAAAGTGAACAAAAACATTTCAAACACATCATTCCAGAATTATAATAGATCATTTCCTTTTCTCACACCTGGAATCCTGCAGGCTTCATTGTTGAGTTAGTACCCACATCACATGATGGGCTGAATGGCCTGTTTTTGTGCTGTAACCATTCCTTGATATCACACTGATTAAAGGTCGGGTTGACTTCCAATCTCTTTTCCCTTAATTGCCCTTAACCAGAGAGGATTGGTGCTGTTGCTGTGTCATCCCAGTCGCATTGCGTATTATAAACAAATAAATGTGATTTATTTTGCTAATGATGCATCCTTAATTAATTCGGTGCTGTCCAATGGAGCATGTTCAAATATTCTAGCTAGAATTTGTGCTGTTCATTTAACAGATATGGAACAATTGAGTCTGAAGGTGAGAAAAGCATGGATAATAACTTCAGCCCCTGAGGGACTGAAGGAAGGAAATGGTGGTCAGTGTTGCAGAGCTGCAAGCAAATGGTCTTGGAAATAGATAGGATTTTGGGTAAGCAGTTAAACTCAGGATCCATCACAATATTCAAGATTTCGAAATGAATTAAAACTGAATTATACTGTGGTTAATTGCTTTCAATATTAGATACACAACTGGATTTACAAACCTTTTTTTGTTCAGCATTATTAGAATGGTGCAAGGTTAAGCAACAAGATAGAAACGTACCTGATGTAAAGTAAGCTAAGAATTTTATTGAATAATACAAATTGACACATGTTTTCATATTTGCAAATAAATAGCCATCAATATGTATCATTTGGAGTCAGTATAACAAAGCTAATTGGTATAGATCCTAGAGTTACAGAAACCGATACAAATCTTAGAGGGCACAATTTATAAAGGGTAATCAATTTTCTCTTGTGAAGTATTTACAACTTGCATTTATTTTCATAGTATATTTGATACAGAAAACCTCCCAAAGCAGCACACAGAAACAATACCATACACAAGGTAAAGACAGATCTGGTGATAAGTCATCAACCTCAAACATTCTCCATTGTTCTCCACAGATACTGCCTGAGCTGCTGATTATTTCCAACATATTGTTTTTATTTCAGGTTTCCAACATCTGCAGTGTTTTACTTTTGTAGCACACTTAACTTACATTGAGGATCTTGAAATCGAAAATCCCAGTATCTTCAGTTTTGCTGGAAATTCACATTCTAGTTGATGTTTGTTTGGTGCACGAGAAGTGGGTAATTGAGAGTTTTGGCTGAAGAGAGTACAAGAAAATAATGGACCATAATTTGCTGGCAAAGTCAATGCGAATGATACTTTCTGATGTTTAAATGCAAATGTTATTGCAGCTGCAGGTGATGGCAAAGCTATGGTTAAATTTGGAAATCCAAAGCTTGCTGCCTGAGTTGCACCAATTCACTGTTAGCTTTATAACACTGGCATCAAGCCAACTTCCTGACTTTTGTACATGCATTCATTGATGAGATGTTGCTACATTTATGTTGTCAATAGCCTTGGCCGTTTTAGTCTTTGTACCCTTTCAACAATGTTAATTCCTGCCAATTACCTAGCAGTGAAAATTAACCATTACAATTATAGTGTCATAGCTCTTTCAGATTTGAATTGTTGAAGTTCTTGAAAGTGCAAAATTTAAAATTAAAACTTCTACTTTACCTTTCTCTTTCCTGCTTTGTCTCTTATTCCAGTCTGTCTTTTGTTCCCTTCCTTTTCCTTTCTGTTACTGAGTTGACATTAAATTTATCCTCATGATCTTACAGTTCCTTCTTTGTTCAGTTGCTGCTTTTTTCACAATGTGACTTGTTAAGAAGCTTGCCTTTTTCACTCAGGTCCGTGTCTTTTACGGTCGTTATCAGTTCATATTTTTAGTGACTTGCATCGCATAGTATTATCCCGACTGAGTGATCAAGGGTCATTCTCACCAGTGGAGTATGGTGTTCCTGGTGCTGTTACAGCAAATTACGGCACAGTCATTCAAACAATCTAACCTCAGAGGAACTTATGGCACAATGTTCATTTCTGAGTCCCTACTCCACTCCATATCAGCAGTTAACACAGCTTCAGAGGACATCCAGTTAGTGGTCTGATGGTGCATTTGCTATCCAATTAAGGGAGGTGGAAGCTGTAAGGAGGTAGGAATTAGATAGATTTATCTAATTCGATAGAATTAGCTGTGGTTGTGGATGTCACAGTCCCCTGGAATGGCACCAAGCAGCGAAATTGCAGGAGGTCTGGCATCTGTAAACAGGTGGTCCCATGATTTTCTGATGCCATGCTGTTGATCATACAGGACTAGAGAGCACACAGCACATGAAAAGGGGGTCATATTGATCGTGGGGTGCACAATTCACTAGGCTGACATGTAACGAGGAGGAGGCCCCTGAGATTGTCTGGATGGCTTATAACACTGATGGTGATGAGAAGGATATCCATCCAAGAGAAAGGACTGAACGATCTCCAGTTTCTGGGGCTGGAGCTTCCTCCTCCTTTGTTTGTGTAAAGTCCACCTTTCTGTAGAGAACCATGTCATGAAGAGTGCAGCACCATACAAGAAACCTTTGAGGGAGTACACTAGGGGTGTACTCCATTGGCAATTGTGTGCCAATGCAGGCTCTCTTTTCCTCCCACTCCTCCTTCCTGGTGAGGAGTTGCTCTTGCCTCTATCACTGCATCCCCCCCCCCCCAACCCCCCCATACTGGTGCATGGATCCTGCAAGTTTCTCCTGCCTTCCCTTTCTAATGTCATTCTAGGCACTCAGTCATATTGTTTGCATTCACCAGCGATGCACCACCACTTCAGGTGGGCTTCTGCTACTGACATTGGCAGCTCCAACAGAATCCTCCACCAGGGAGGCAGGACCCTGTCAAGAAGCTGGCACACTGCTTGGTGATCAGATCCTGCCCCTGGTCCCACCTCCACACTGTTATGAAAATGTTTGTGTTTGGAAGTGTTCCACATAAGCAGTAATTATACTTTCAAGTAGTATTGTTCCTGCACCTCC